CTTTTAATGATGTTTCATATCGAATCCTGCTTTGTTATAATCTTACCATCGATACGGAATTACATTTCCAGGTTTATGCTGATTTAAATTAAATTTTCTAAATTAAAATGTTATAGCTCTTTATTTAGTTACAGTTCCTTCTTCACGAATACCATTTATATTAAGGGTCGGCAGTTCTGGTCTTGGGAGCCGATTTTCGTGTGTACGAAGAGTACGGTCAACACGCTTAGTAAAATAAGATGTACTGAATAAAGACAGAAGCCAAGTATTTTCCAAACGCATGGAATCTAGCGTCAAATTAAGTGATTATGTAATAAATATTTCGTATTTTTGCTCTCTCCGACTTACTAGATTACCATAGCGATTCACTCCTATACATGTAAACGCCGACCCAAGGTTTCGATTGCCAGCCGGGTATATTGTAATCGCAAAACATTTTCCGATGCACGTCATCAATCATATCGACATTGACACTAAAGTCTATAAACCTGACTAAATAAAATTTTGGCAAAAATATTTAAATTTGTTGTATAATTTAAGATACCAAGCAGCCCTTCATTTTTCTTTATAGAGCAAATTATTCTAATAGATATTTTATTTAGACTAAAGCTGAAAAAATTAGTTTAAACTGAATTTGATTATCGCTAAGTTGGTCAGATTGAGCCGTTTTCAGCAATGTTATCCTTAATAATTGGACAATTATCCTAGTATTGTGAGTAATTCTCGTCTATTTTCATAGTCTTTTTTAAAAAAACAGTTCTTTTAAGAACTAAATTTTCGAGTTTTTATATTGAATTTCTTGAAATTGTGTGTTGAAAATATGCCGAAGCATTTAAACAGTAGGTGCAAAGAGCTTGTAGCTTTCTTGTTTCTTTAAGATTATTTTGAACCAGAATGTAAAAAAGGGGGGTCCCCCTTTATTATTCATTATTAAAGGTCCTTTATTATCCTTGACTGCAGGCAGAAAAGTTAGTTTGATTGATAAGCACATTATACCACTTTCAAAGTTAGTTTTTATTAACAACCTAATCAAATACAAATATATGTATTTTTTAGTGGGGGATTAAATAGATCCAGTATATACTGCTTCAACATCCATTCATAAGTAATTCGTCCAATATTCAAAGGTCCGCTAGCAATTAGTTAAGCAATTGGAAGTGAGAAAAAATATGCCTTTTTACTTTTTAGTAACTAAGGTCTAGACCATCTTGAATGTTGTCGAAAGTTGTTAACTTTCTGTTTTAAATTTGTTTAAGTAAATAGTAAAAACTAACGGCAACAGTATTTCATGATAATATAAAACAATACAGAAGACCAAACCATGTTTTGTCGACGCAGCCAAGTCGTACGTTAAGTTGTTGCCTGTGGACCGAGCTTTACAGTGTCCACAAAAAGAAGAAAATATTTCGCTCGGATGAATATGAAATTTTAATACGTGTTACTTTCAAAGAGATTCAAGAGTTTCACAAAACCATTGCTACGGATTTGCTCGAGCCTAAAAGATTTTTTTATTTACATTCATATACTGGAAGTGTTTTGGAAACAGTGAAAGTTGTTTTTAGGGCAGTTGAAAAAAGTTTGGACTGATGAAAAGCTCCCTTAAGGGTAGAACAGGAATCAGATACTTTGTGTACTTCAACTTTTCTAAAGTTTTTTTGTTCTGGAAAATAAAGTATAAATTACTATTACTGTGTACTGGGTGTCACAAATTAAAGGCCCAACAATGGGATCTCGGAAAATAGGAGATTTTCGAGGCCAGTTAAATGGGAGGCAACCATTTAAGGATGATCAAAATAAGTAAAGGTCTAAATTTTGAATACTTTCCAAGATTTTAGAAAAAAAAAATTTTGATTTTATTTATATTTTATTTTTGACACTATTTGAATAGATATAACAAAATAAATTTTACATTCTCATTGCTACTTTTTGTTTGTTCTAGAAGATGGTGTTATAATTTTCAAACCTATGCAATAAATATTCAAATACATATTGTGTTTGAGCTGATATTTTCCCGATATTTTCGTAGTTTACATTAACTTTCTTCTTCTAAATATAGTCTTGGATTTTTTATTAATGATTTTAAGAACTTCGAAAGTATCAAAACCAATGACATATGGGAATTATTCGAATATAACAAATACAGCGTAAACTTTCCAATCTTGTATAAATGCAAAAAAATGCCGACAAGTCCATTGAAACAAATTTTACAGAATATACAAACAATGATTTAAAATATTACGGATATTAAAAAGAATAATAAGTCGAACGCATTGAATCTGGCACATAATTTCTTGAAAGTATGATGCATACAAATTTAATTCAGGGAGTTTTCTTGTAAATTGGGATTTTGATTAGGACATGTCGGGTTTTTACTACAAACCTTGTTAAATGAGCAAAATAAAATGGTTTGTTTTATTTAATTGAAATTGGATTAAAAAATAAACAAAAGTAAGCAAAGAATAATAATATACCTAGGTTTTAAGTTCAATTTAAGATTAAACATCAAAATCTAATTTCTTAGCAGAACAAATCCTTTTGACTTGGTAGTCGCTTTTTGTATTTAAACCTTATTTTCTATACTAAATATATTATCTTATATATGATAATGTTGATATTTGCCAGAAAATATTATACCATTTGATAGATCTTTAGATAAGAATGGTGTAAAGAACTCCACTTTTAAAAATGTGTGACTTGTCGAGCTTTGCATTTAGACATCTGAAATATAAAATCCTTTTATGTAAAAATAATAAAATTTAAAAGAAAACCTCTCACTTTGTACAGAAAAAAACGCACATTACCATAATCATCTGTCCCACGCTGGTTTCGGACTCTTCTTTTGTTGACGAAATTACTAACCAATTACCCTAACCAACGGCTTTAAAAGCATAACTGTCTTTTGTTTCTATTTTTTGGAATGGAGCTTGCCTACGAATCTCTTTTAGTTACTAAGTAATATAAATATAAGTAAAATGTACAGTCAAAAATAAAAAAAATAAGGCAAAAATAATACGATACTTTGGAATCATACATTCTGCGATACCCCAGCTATACATGTGTGTGAAAAGCTGATATTAGTTCTCTGTGTTTATTCATTGGTTAGTGACAGTCAACACGCAGTATTTTTCAAAAACGCGACGGGTTTATTTCTTGAGAAAATACCAAGCAAATTTTCAAGAAATGAATTCACCATAAATTTATTGTTTATTGTTCATTCGAAGCCAGCTTTGTTACCCTTAGGATACAGAAAAATCTTCATTTCACGATTACTTTTTGAAATGACCTATTAAAATTTATATGTTTCAGTTTCGACATTATCATTTGATTTCTAAGGTTTTCTGATTCAGAAAATTGATGATCGTCAGGCATATATTTATATTAAAGATCAGAAGCGAATTGATTTATACATTCATATTTATACGTGTTGCTCAAGGAATAAGGAATGCATAACGCAAAGAAGGCGCGATTCTCACTCTAACGTACCGTCAAGTCGAGCAGCCGCCTTGACAGAAAACATGAAATAAATAGGAGATGGACGTTGCCACGACCAACGCGTTACGGATAGTGTGAAGTTCTTCATTGTCGGCAATGTGATAATATTTATCGCGGTCGCCGGCGGCTTAACGTGACGGTGGTGTTAGGTTATAATGAGAATCGCGCCTAGAAAGACACCGTGCTACGTAATTGACAGGTCTTTAAGGGAACGTTCCGATTAAAGAGATTGTACTGTACTAAGTTGTTACATGGAATTGAAAACGTCGGATTGGATGTTTGTATTGAATAAATGTGTAGTTAAAACTAACGATGTACTTAAACAGCCGTTAAACGGTAGCTTAGATATTGTGACGTCGTTCACGTCGGGGGAAAGTAATGCCTACCTATAAGCACTTTGCAAGAGCACGTGTGGCTCCGTGGCTGAGGCTATCGCTTCGTGAGCGCATGGTCCGTGGTTCAAATCTCACGCCGGCCAAGACTTTTTTGCTTATAGCGTGATCTTATTGCATTGGTTTCACTCTTTTTGGTTGTATTGGTTTAGTTATTTGGCGGGTTGGTTAGCGTGGTTATTTGGAGGGTGTTAATTCATTGGTTAGTTGGTTATTTACTGGGGTTGGTTGGTTTTTACTAATTTATATCTGTTTTTTATATTTTTTTATCAGTGTCGAGGTTAGTTGCGTTGGTTAAGTTGGTTATTTGGTGGGGTGGATAGCGTTGGTTAGTCCTTATAAAATTCCTATATTTCATAAAGCCCGTCAAGTGCGTCACATCAACGACGTCATACCTATTAACGGCATTTTAGTAATCTACCGTTTAACGGCAGTTTAAGTACAGCCTAAAACTGAAAGTATTTTAGACTTCCATTGTCTTTATTTATTTTGCTTACATAACGTTATAATAATAATATTAAATAACGCTTTATTGTACAAAAAGCCAAAATAGCTTCATCGACAAAGCATTTACAAAACAAACAAAAGAACAAAAAATATACAAATAATAAAAAATATCCTGCAATACAAATCATACAATTAAAAAAAATACGTCATTAAAATTACAAATAGAACATACACGGACATTGCAGAATACAAAAAAAGGCTCAAAAGACTCAAGGATATCAATAAAATTTTCCAATAGAAAAATTGTAAGCTTAGCGTTTCAGTTAGAAGTATCACTGATCGTTATCAAGTGTGAACTCTTGATAACTGTTCACACTTGATAACGGTCAGTGATACTTCTGACCGAAATGTTGAGTAAACAAAATAAATAAAGGCAGTGGAAGTGCGAAATTATTTTAGTTTTAATACTGAATCATTATCTACCACATTCAAATTTGTAGTTGTTTGAGTTTTCCCAAGTAGTTGTTTGAGTTTTACAACCAACATCATTTTGAAAGTTTGCTTTCAACAAAAGTATAAACAGTTTCCTTCTTTATTAACAAATATTATTGAACTTTTTAAAACTTTTCTTCTAACTTATTACACCTGGACCAATTTCTTCTTTTCCAGGGTGAAAAGGGCGACATGGGCAGGAGAGGTCGACGCGGCCGACCTGGGCCTCAGGGTCCCCCAGGACCGGCAGGCAAAGGAGGGGAGATAGGCCTTCCAGGATGGATGGTAAGTGGAATTTTCCGTAAAATTCGGGATATATGGGGAAAGATTTAAATCGCGGGTGCGTTGTCATAAGACTATCTGCGACACGGTCTGATCTCTGCCTAAGTTGAAAAGCTTTTTGGTCGGAATAATATATTACATCTTTATTTTTTTCAGTGGGATAGGATTTTGGAGAGAGGAATTTAATTTAAAAAGGCTTTCTACGTATAAATTTGGAATTTTATTTTCAAAGATTGTCATTGTATAGTATTTAATTTTTTTTTTCTATGAACAAAATGAAATGAAAGTGAGATATTAAAGACAAAGTATTGAGAAGTAAAAGATTAAGAAGGAAAAGCCAAATGTTATTTTTATATTCGCAGATTAAAAACGAAAGCTACGTCATTCTATCTATTTTAAAAAACCTTCTTTGTTAGTTCTGTTTGACAAGACTTTTGATCAATTTTAATTTTTGTCAGATTTTTAAATGCTTTCTATTTTTATATTTGTGATTATTCCAAACAGGATTTAAAAATAATTATTGTTCAGATTGCGACTACATAGAAAAATACCCTGTTACTTTTTGGTATCTATCAAATTTGAAATTTAAAGGAATAAATGGCTAGACATTGATTTCTGGTCGAGTTTTTTGACTAGTCATAAACAAAATAATTATTCGATGGTATAGTATTTTTATCTCAGTCATATATTTATAGCGGGTGTGACTTAAATAAGTTCAAATATTTTTTAGGGGTAATACCTATATTTCGAACCCAGAAACATAATTATGAGTTTTTTTCCTAAAAAAAATTGAAAATTTGGAATTTTTTGGAATTTTTTTTAGTTTTTAGTTAAAAAAACATAATTTCTTGATAATATACCAACATAGATAGTAGATTAAATTTACAAGAAAGAAAATCAAGAAAAGATCCAGCGGTTCTCAAAATTTAAGCAAAAAATCATTTTTTTTTTTAAATTTTCAAAGTAAAATAACTCGATTATTTTGAAATTATTTGAAAAACGGTAAAGAGAAAATATGTTTCTTTTCGAGATCTACCAGCCTTGAAAGTATTTGCACTTATTTAAGACTCACCCTGTATATTGCTCATATATTTAGTAGAATATTCTGAATACAATTGTAGTTTTTTATTGAAAAGTTAAAACTTTCTGTAAAAAATTGCTAGCATGATGCAAACTATATGTCTCTCATTTGGCAATATAACACAATTTCTATATAATTGTTCTTTGTAATAACTTAAGTTTAGATTTTCTTTCAAAGTAAGGGTCGATATGGTAGTAAGTTAGTTAAAAGATTTTTTCTAGATCTTTGGATTTGGCCAAAAACCATATAAAGACAAGTTTAAGGAAATAATTTTATGAGTAAGCTATGAAAAATAAGTTTCCAGAATATACAGATATGAATGGCATAAATGCAGAAGCTACTTTCAATCACACGTGGCATTACTTAAGTCTAATTCTTTGCATCTAAATTTAATTTATTTTTAAAAGCAATTAATTGATTCAAGAAATTCAACTAAATATATAAAAATTATTTTTTTAATACTTTTTTTAACTTGATATGAAACTGTATAAGATCAATGTAACACAGCAAGTAATTTTCCAGGACGTAGAAAACTGAATTTTATTATGTTATCTCGGTAAACTGTAAAGATATTCATATTTTACATCACATAAGTCAGGTTTTTGAAACTAAATTTAATTTTTCTTTAAAACTATTAATTAATTCAATCAATTTAACCAAGTATAAGACGACCAGATAAATATTAATTGACAAACAGACTACCATCAGTTATTATTATGATATATAGTATATATTTTCTTTTATTACATTTTTAAAATTAATAATATTAAATATATTTTAATTATAAATAATTTTAATTATATATATTTTTAAAATTCAATAGAGATGTAAGCAAAACTCTAATAAAATTAGTATCATAACGCAGTAGATTATGTAAAATAAAGAAGGAATAATAAAAAGAAAAAAAAATAGAAGAAAAAACATGACAATGTTAATTGACTTAAAATTCAATCAATTTAATATTTCCTTTTTTTCTGAACAAAAATTTATATATATTTTTTATTTCCAAAACTTCATTTTTAAATTATTTTATTTAACGACAGCCTCAATGATAAACGCGAAAAATCCATTTCGTATTTGAAAAGCTGGTTTATTTTATTCGTTAGTTTTAACTTTTTATATATATATTATAAATAAACACGATTAACTTTACGCTCGAAATAGCGGATTTAATATTTGTCTTTCTTGTCCATTGCACCATCCGACGAAACAGAACGGAAAGGTAAGGCTAATTGAAAATAAATATTTATCGTAGAATAGAAAATAAAACGAGAATGCAAATCTCGGACAAAAGCTCACAACGAATTGTTTATTTCATAAACTACAACGATTCCTTTATTTTTCTAATTAACTCCGAACAGATAAACCGTTTGTGTTGATACTACTTTTTCTCGAACAGATTATTAATAAGAAGCTTATGCTCTTTGTTGTTGCACTGTTTATGTCTACTTTATTGACTAAATTAAATATTTTCAATAAGAAATTGTTGTGGCTATATAAAAATTAAAAAGAAATGTAATAATAATTAATACTTATATCTGTTTTTCTTCAGTATATTTTGTGAAATAATTATAAGAAAGTTTATTCTTATACTTATTGATTCAATATACTAAAAGAATTTTGAACTTTGAGACACTATCTTTATTTAGTTTAACATCCACAATATTTCAGTCAGTTTCATCACTGACTGTTAACAATTGATGGGTCCAAGGGATAAACATTATAAGCGCCATTTTATTAATTTTACAGGAGAGCACTGGCCGGCTGGCGATTATCAGGTTCTGTCTGTGTATTCTATATTTTTACTAGGTTAGGTTAGATTAGGTTGCTGGGGTTTGGAATCAGGTTTGATTCCTCACTCGGAGGCCTTAGGCCCATTGTATTGTTGTAGCAAACCTTCCTCTCATTCTTCCTTTGCGTTAAAGCACTTACAGCTCTTTGCAAAGTTTCCGATATTGCTGCTGTTAGCTTCTGCTGCGTCCTCTAGTCCCTCCAAAAAATCTTGCCCTAAAATGGTTTCTTCTTCCCCTCCGCATTCTCTTATATTCTATTAGGAATATATCATAGGTTTCTAATATATTTTAACTAGGCATATATCATAGGATTAAACAACTTATTATTCTGCAGAGTTTACACATTTATTAGGGACCAGCTGGAACTACTATAATATTGTAAAATCCTAAAATTAAGAAATTGGCGCTTATCAAGTTTTTCCCCTGGACTGTTCATTGTGAACTATTCTAATTCCTATAACTACTGAGCTTATAAACTAAAGCAAAAAATTCGAGTTGGATGCAATCAGGCATGAGGTTATCCACTGAGGACGCTAGGCTTGTACGTTTTATATGTGGATATTGTAGAAATTTTTATACATGGATTGCTAACTAAATTATTCTGGGTACCGGGCAATAGCGGCATCCAAGACAACGAGAAAGCCGAAGTAGGAAGACAGCGATCATTGAAATTATATTTTGGTCCAGAGCCAAACTCTAAGACTATATAAAAAAACAACTTTATTTCGAATATTTTATATATCTTTGTGTAAATCTTAATAGTAATTGAATTCGGTTAACCCTAATTAGCATATCGCGCGACATCCAATAATGCATAGTTGCATTCCTAATATTATATAAACAACTAATTCTAAACATATAATATAACTGGCCTTAATTAACTTAACATAAGAAATACTTATATCTAAACTATTATGTACAGGGTGTAATAATATTTACACACTACAGTACTGGGAATATCAGTAGTATGATCTGTAGTGCAGTAAAACTATGGATCAAGGAAAAGCATATCGTCTACTGGAGAAACGGACAAGGGCACAATCATAGCAAGGAACTGCAAAGGAAATCAAAACTACAAAGGAACTGCTAATGTTCGGGAGGAACCTGTGGCTTTCAAATGCTACCTGGCCAAGCTCAACCTATCTCAAGGAAGTTTTGATGCAGACTGCAATAAAGATCTTGAAACAGCAGAGCACATAACATGTCACTGCGAGGTTCTGGATCACAGGCGAAACTCTCTATTTGGGAAAGTAAGGCTAGAACCGATAGAACTATGCTCACATCCTGTCTGTATATTATATCTGCTCAAGTTGGTGCATTGTCTTTGTTTCAGTTGGTGCATTGTCTTTGTTACAGGGATAGGGCATGCAGATATAGAAATGGACCAAACATAATAGGCTTTACAATCAAAATACGTGGATTGCTAAAGAAGTTGTTACTGTGAAGATATAAAAACAACTTCTTTAAATTTAATCTTTTTTATTTAAAAAGCTTTTCCTTGTGGACAATCCAACCTTTCAACCATTTTTTGTTGTGCTATTTAAACTGCGTATTTCAGATGGACTGCAATACCTGACTTCAATGTTTAACCTTTCTTTGTATGGTTTTTAGTGATTGTTAAGTCATACATTTGGGGAATATTTCGCCTTTCCAATCCCGACTGCACCTGGGTGATGGACTCTTCCTCTAGTTTCGATGTTTCTGGTCTTATCAGTTTTAGGGCTCAAACACACTGACGACCAGGTCGCACCGGCCAGGCCGCAGCTACCTCTAAAACCATTAAATCAAATGATACAGCGCACACTAACGTCCTGGCCGTTCGTTGGTCGTTGCGACCAGAAGACTGCACGGAAATATTATTATTTTCTGCCGCTTGTTGCCTTTGTTTTCTCCCAAATTAATATTTTTTCAGATGAAATCCCTCAAATTCAACGCACAATATTTTATTTTCTATAAGATATAGTGTTTTAGTGTAGTTTTTGCACACGTGCAGAAAATCCAAAGAAATAGTATACAGACTGGATCAAAGATAAACTTAAATCTAATCCTTTTTTTATCAAGGGTCGATTCTAGTAAAACTCAAAACATTTTTATATGACATACTCTATTTATGGTTGGTATGATACCTGTTATTATACCTTTGAGTTTCGATGTTTAAAAAATAAAAAAAATAATATTTAAAGTTTTTCTACAACCTCTTGTTTTTTTTTATTAAATTAGTTTTTTTAGTTGTTTTGTAGTCATGTACAAGGAGGACAACTGTATTTTAAATATGATATTTAATTTAACGTTTTTCAAACAGGGTTCATTAGATATATTTTTACTAGGTACATTATTTTGAAAAAAAAATTAAGAAAGTAACTTAAACATTCATAAAAATAGAAGTAATTACTATTGTAGATTCTTCGTTATATTGTAAACATTGGAATAACTAGAAGCTAAACTTTCTACCTGCTTATATTTAGAGCCAGTATCTGACGATCTTTTTTTACGGTGGCCCTAATATGTTTACTTCTAAAGTCGATAAGGGCGCCATATCAGTAGAAAAAAGAAACAGAATATCTCCCTTTTTGTCGGTCGCGCGTACACAATGCTTTTTGTTTGTTGTGAATAGCAACTTCGCTTTTTAGTTAACTCGGATATTTTAACATTTTTGAAACAATATTTTTTAATTGGTAAAACGTAAAAAAACGTTAGATTTGACAACTCTGTTGAAACTGGTCGTTCATCTGGCTGCAGCTTTGCAGCACGCAATGCATCCGGCCAGGTCGTTGCGACCTGGTCGTCAGTGAGTTTGAGCCCTTAATGTAATACTGTCTGGGTAATAATTTGTCTTATCTGTCTTATCTGCCTTATCTATTCCTTTTATACACTAAATCAAAAAGTGAGAAAGTAGGTATCTTCTTTAGGCTGACTCACCAATGAGTATAGTAATTTCATTTGGAACTACAGAGACTTTAAAGTCGTTTGTCCAGACGATACAGACAATGCCGCCGAAAAAGGTAGTTTCGAAATTAAGCAACAATCTATTTCAATTGAAAAAAAGATTAAATAAAAAAAATAAATCCTTTTTGCTGCTAAGCCTAATCGGGCTACATCATTTACGTGGAATCCGAACCTCGGCCTCATTTTCAGTGGCCTACCGACTTGGCGAATATCTAAATCGACTCTTTCTCACGCTCACGAGATATCCGATCTCATCCAGCCTCGAACGGACGCGGCGTGAATGAGTAGAGTGTGTCAATATATTTTACACTCTTATACAGGGTGAGTTTCCTACGATGTTCTCTATGGGTATCTCGAAAACTACTCGAGATAGAGAGTCGGTTAAATGGGGAAAGAATTGCAGTTTTGTGGGGTCATAAATATGCGCCTCTCAGATTTTTTAAAAAGTTTATGGCTTACTAGATATTTCGAAAAAAAACAAATTTTGGCTATTTTAAAAATTTCCATAATTCCATTATAACCTATTTTAGACAAAAAGTTTTCAGATAAAAGTTGTAGATAATCACATCCCTAATAAGTTGTGCTCTCCGATTGTTTCTAAAGCCTGTCATTTTTGACATATGACACAAACATATTTTTTTTTAAATGGTAACCATAGTTGGCCATGACTTCATAAAAAGCGCCGTTTTTTAATCTTTTCAGTGATATAAGCTATAATATGTTTTTTTTTCAAAAAATTTCTGAGTTATAGCCAATTCTTATCCTTCTTGACTAATTTCACTTAGTTGGCGAGGTGCTCTTATTTTGTTATGATTTATAACTCATAAAAAGTCAAAATATATTATTAAACGGCTCTTTACAATTTACGTTACACAAAATAGCAAAGACAATTTAGTTGTAACTATATTGACCTAACTGTGTACAGGGTGTCCTAATATTACTTGGACATAGAGCTGCTACGTATTTTTGGAATCAAAATAAGTTCATTGGACACAATTTACCTTTATACAAAAGTGCTTCGGTTGTCCGTTAGAGGGCATCAAACTTTAACTAAAACTTAAAAATATAATATCACTACATACACTTTAAGTTAGAAAATGTTCAATTTAGTTTAGAAAATGTTCAAAAAATCCGCCATTATTTGGAGTACATAGTTCTTTTGTAAACTTTGTTATAACCATACCGCATAAAAAAATCTAAAATGGATAATTTAGGTGATCAAGGAGGCCCATGGTATTGGTCCACCTCTTTCTATCCCTGAGTCTACATAATTATGTTATAAATAAGTTTTAACATTTCTTTCATTGTGGGGGTAGGGGTGGTGTGTCATAATGAAAGTCATGTTGGAACCACTCTATTAATGCGCGGGTATCTAAATTTAACTTTTCTAACATGTCTTAAAAACCGTTCTCTAAAAAACGTAAGTAACGTTTACCGGTCAACGTATTTTCGAAACTGTATGGCCATGAAAAGTTGAACCAATAATCCTACACGCTTTTCTTCATTTGAAAAATTCATATTTACAATTTTTGTTTATTTTAATTTACAAAGTTTGGATATGACAGTTTCGCATTTCTGAGAGCAACGACGATTTAACTTGTTTCTATGGCTAACTAAGTGAAATTAGTCAAGAAAGACAAGAATTGGCCATAACTCAGTAATTTTGTGAACATAATATTATAGTTTATATCGCTGAAAAGCTTAAAAAATGGCGCTTTATATGAAGTCATGGCCAACTATGGTTTTCATTTAAAAAACATAATGTTTGTGTCATATCTCAAAAATGACAAGCTTTAGAGAAAATCGGAGAACACAAACTCATTAGGGATGTGATTATCTACAACTTTAATCTGAAAACTTTTTGTCTAAAATAGATTATAATGGAATTAGAGAGAATTTTTAAAATAGACAAAATTTGTTTTTTTTTAAATATCTAGTAAGCCATGAACTTTTTCAAAAATCTGAAAGGCGCATATTTTTTTGGCCCCACAAAACTGCAATTCTTTCCCCATTTAACCGACTCTCTATCTCCAGTAGTTTCTGAGATACTCATAGAGAACATCGTAGGAAACTCTCCCTGTATATATTAAATCCACTCGCATCATCTAATGTCGCTTAACTTCGGTGATCTGAAACCGGTGTTGTGACCAATTGACTTTGGACTTTGTAGAGATTTCTTACAGTAAATATTCTGAAGCAAATCCAATTTAATGTTGGTGATCATTAGTTTATCATCAACAATCATTAGTTTATAACCACACGTTTGACTGCACCCAACTCCGTCGTGGGTGAATTCCTTGCTCTAGTATATAAGCCCAGTAGTTTTAGCATTTATTTATTTTATTTAGTGCAAATTAAATAAAGCCAATGGAAGTCCGAGATTATCATAGTATTAATTAAAAGAATGTTACAATAGTAATTGATAATTGTAACTTAGTATTTAATTTACTTTTTAGGGAAGACCAGGAGCTACAGGAATACCTGGGCAACCTGGACCAAAGGGAGAAAAGGGAGATTCTGGATCTGGAATGGTAAATACAAAGTTAATGTTAAATATTAGTAGAATATATCATATTACTAAAAAAACAGACGACAACTTTAAAGTTTCGATGTAGAACGGTTTTATTAAAAATTGAGTGTGAATTCTGAAGATACCGTAGTATGACAGAATAATGTGTCTCATGAAAAAAGTATTATATTTGAGTGAACGGTTCGATCTAATGGCGTAGTATTCTATACCATCAAATTGTTCACTGAAATATGGGAAAATGAGATTCTTGTTTATTTTTAATTGTATCAAATAAAAGTTAAATAAAATCGATTTGAAATGCATTAAAGGCTAAATTAATTAAATTTTTGCTCAAAATTTGCATTTGGAAAAATCCTACAAACAAAAATATGTTAAATATAACAATTAAATGATTTTTTAATTAAAAATCACATGAGTAATTTTTGCTAATACGTCTTTATATGATTAACTTACACATCACTAGCTATTTAGATAAAATAACAACATACGAATTATAGCAAAATGGTTGATAGAAATTATTGAATCTATTTTTACAGACTTATTTAGGACCAGAGGTAAAACATAAGCAGTATTTAAATATCTAAAAAATATATAGATATTTTGTTTTAAAATTTTTGGTTCAATCATGAGTTCATAAACTCTATTATGAAAATACAGGGTGACCCATGCTTCCGAAAAAGTTCTATACTATGTTTTTGGTTTGTGATTTTTATTTAATTATTTATTCAGAATGTAAGGGGCCACGTTTTGAAAATATTTTCGTCATCGTACCTTGCATTCGATTCAAACATATTTCTAAAGTCATATATTTTTAAATGAAATGCTGCATATTTTTTAGCTCAGTAAAGTTGCCATTAATTTTCAATTTCGAAAATACTATAATGTCATATACTATACCGAGTGGTATTTGAAATATATCTGTTTTTCAGCTAAATTTTCTGCTTATTAAAAACCCTCTCAAAACTCTACATTCGAAGAATTTTAAAAAGATTTAATTTATAAGAAATACTATATAATAGTCTCTCAAAAAAAACTCTCTTCAAAATTCAGTTTACGAAAACTTGTTTCATATATACAAGATCAGTCAAAACTAAATGTTGCATTTTTTCCCACTCTTTTAAATGGAACAAATTGCTGTAAGTTTCGTTTAGTCTTTTCATTTTATTAAGTAGTTCCTACTCATAAAATAGATATTTAATGAGAAAATTGCGTTTGTTTAAAATATAAGACAAGATTTGACCTTCGTTCTTTCAATAGTAGGCGTTTATCCAGGGTCATGGCTATGCATCACGTTACCACAGTGTGGGTTTTCTGTTACATAATAATAAATATTACGTTTATTTGCTAATCCATTACATTTAAAGCTAGCCCCATCGGAAAATAATATTTTAGGAAAATGCCCCTATCAGTAAATTTAGTTTTAAAACGGTTATGTTTAAAAAACACTGTGTGTATTATATAACATTATGGTATTTTTGAAATGCAAATTTAATGGAAAATCACTTCAGTTTAAAAATATGTTTGAATCGCCCTCTATGTTGTCAGAAAATTTTTCAAAATATGCGTTCCCATTGACCCCACATTATAGCTTTATCGGAAGCCTTGATCACCCTGTAAGTTTCATATTAGTTTGATAAAAACTAATGAAATGGTGATTAGGTTAGGTTAGGTTAGATTTAGTTAAGTTAGGAAAATTTTGTACTACAACCTAAGTAGTACAAAATTTTCATTCTCACCCGGTAATAAAAACTAATAAATGAGTCCACACTTATATCCTATACATTTTAAAATATTACCTGAATATATTATTTAGAACAATAAATCATCGACATTTTAATTATTTTTATCAGTATATTACTTCCTGTCAAATATTTTTATTGTACGTACAAAAATCCGAAACTTATAAATCACAATGCGATCTTGCATACAGAAAACATTTTGCATTACGTCCATATATCACGTACGGAGTTTTAAACTAGCAACCTTAGGGCTGATTTAGCCGGACGATATCATATAGACATTATTCACATAGAACCTCCGTTTAAAAAGCTTGCTCCATTTTTGGTCAATTTAACCCATAAAATATGCAATATTAACCGGAGGAAAACTTTCGTTTTGAAATTTATGCAAGACAGTTGGTACGAACCGAGAAAATATTCTCATAATATGTAGAACCACTTCATATTACATTACAGGTTGACCCAGTTTGTTTAGCCTCTGTAAACCTGGAGTCAAAAAATCCAGGGGGATATAAATGCACACCAACATTTTTTTTTGTTGAAATAATCTCTTAAATATTTTTATAAAGTTAAATCATTAAATAAAGATAACTTAATATTAAGAAATAATATGTTATTTTTTACACAAAATATATCATTTTTTTGATTTATATCTAAAATGTTTTCGATTTATAAACTTGTTTTGAACGCCGTCGCCGGGATGAAAATAAGCAACTTTGATGAACACTATAATTGTACGGAAAAATACTAACTTTTCAAATTGAAAAAAATTTGGATTTATAAATGAAGGGTCAGGGGGAACAGCAGGTAAGTTAATTTCTCTCCAAAGTGAGAAAAGCATAATTTAGTGTTCAAAACATTGCAAAAATAGAGTACAGGAACTTAAAAAATAGCGTAATAGAGATTTGTTAGAACTTTGGTAAAGTTATTTTTTTTATTAGATAAAATACCATTGTAATGGACAAACATAAGAACTCAAGAATGAGTTGCCTAGTTCTTTTCTTTTTTGATTGATGCCTGCCTACTGCCTTTATATTATAACTTTGACGCTATACTCGTCTTCAAAGTTGTTCAACCCTATAACTTTATTATTTTTTCAGATAAAGAACGAAATTTGGTATGTTAGTATATGACATAAATCAGGGTTGATTGATGTATTCAAATTTTTTGTGGTCATTTTTTGTTTTCCGGAAATGACTACAAATTTTGATTTTTTAAGTGCCACCCTCACTACTATTTATATACTCGATAGAAAATTACACTCTGAATAGAACGACATATCATATGTCCACTTTTGACATATACGCATATGGTTTATTTGAAACATGCGGTTCATTTAGCGACAAATTGACCAAGTGTGTAGTACCCAATTATTCGTAAAAACTGCTTTTTCCAAATATTCTAATAAACCACCCTCGTTCCATTTGAAAAAAATTGAGATAAGATTAAAAATACGATTTGGCATCTTTAAGTCCAGGACAAAATACGAAAAATATTAGACGATCAAAACTCTTTTTCCAGGGCTCCTTGATTAAAGATTAGTGTTTTAATACAGCCATGGCACTCTAGATTGAAATTTAAATTACGATTTGTTTTTAAGCGAAAATATCAAAAGTTGACATCTGATATGTCAATATACCGAGGATGCCATTTAAAAATCAAAAGTTGTAGTCATTTCCGGTGAAATAGGAAGTGACCCAAAACAGTTGAATACGCCAATCAATCCTAATTTATTTCATAAATATACTAACATACCAAATCTCGTTTTTTTATCTGAAAAAATAAAAAAGTAAAAGGGGTGAGCCCCTTTCGAGACACACCCGGTCCATCTTCTGACTAGGTTGTTTTGTCCCAGTTTTGTGGTTTCTAAAGATGCTTGGTCTTACTCTGAAGCAGATGCACAGAATATTTGAATACGGCAAAAAAATTGACTTACATGCTTTTTCTTCTCTGGTCCTTCAAATTATCCAGTAAAATTGTATAGCCGTATAGAGAGTGAAAAAAAAAATTACAGGCAAGCTGATTTTTTCAGAGTTTGTCAGTGACTGTCTTCTGAGTGTAAAATTAACAAAATCGGAAATTTTCCCCTTGCGGTTTTTGAGCAATAGGATTATTTTTTTTAAACTGTACTACAACAAAATAGTTAGAAGCAAATTTTACATAAGAACATTCTCTATAAGTTCGCCTAATAATTTTTTTATAAGTTTATTATTTCCGGACTTAGCGGCCGTTTCATGAGCCCTTCGGGATGGTTTTCAAAAAGCTTGTTTAACAGCAAATTGACCCGTATGAAAGTTGTTCATAATAAATGGACAAGCAACTTCTCCTCATTATTTTTTTTTGTTGCTTGATTATTTTTGGAGATAGCGTCCAGTTCATGAACAAATTAGGGTAGTTTTCAATGTTACTCTTTTTTTCAGCAAATTCACCCTAGGACCCTCATTCAAAATAAGAGTACATATACCTTTGCCTTATGAACTTTTTTTGTAACTTGACTATTTTTGGAGCCAACGCCAGGTCCATCACACAAAAGAAGACGATACAAATAAAAAAAATCATAATATTCATTCACTTGATGAATTCCATGTTTCGTTTTGGAGAAATAAATACATATCATAGGGAAGTTTGCATGTAATTTTAATATGAACACCTTTAAGTTGGTAAATTTGTAGAACTAATCAAAAATTATGAAAGTACCCCAATTTGTTCATGACCTGAACGCTATCTCCAAAAATAATGAAGCTACAAAGAAAATCATGAGGAAAGGTTGCTTGTCCATTTATTATGAACAACTTTCATACGGGTCCATTTGCTGCAAAACAAACTTTTTGAAAACCACCCCAAAGGGCTCATGAAACAGCCGCTAAGTCCGGAAATAATAAACTTATAAAAAAATGCATTAGGCGAACTTATAGAGAATGTTCTTATGTACAATTTGAGTCTAATTATTTTGTTGTAATACAGGTTTAAAACAACCACCCCTATTGCTCAAAAACCGCAAGGGGAAAATTTCCGATTTTGTTTATTTTATCTTCAGAAGACAGTCGCTGACAAACTCTGAAAAAATCAGCTTGCCCGTAATTTTTTTTTCAAATGACAATTTTATTGGATAAAAATGGCAAAGTCAACATTTGTAAATTTTAAGGCGGATAAACAAAAGTAGAAAAACATTGACGTAATGAATTCACATAATTTGCTAAAATTTTTGGATCAATAAAAATTGATTCTCAGTATACTTTCCGTATCAGCTATCTTCCGTTTCCCTTCCGTTTAGTAGTATAGAAAATATTATATCTTATAAATGAATAGGACAATGCACACTACCCGTTCCGTTTCTTTTCCGTTCCACATCCTTTCCGTACATACATTTTTTGGCAGACCGACTGAAGCGTATCGGAAACAGCGTTGTCAATTTCTTACATTTGTACCAGCTCTGTAAACATTTTGCTAATATTTATTTACTAACTCTTCTCTTATTACCTTCACCTCTTAATTAAATCTATTACCTTTTTCAAAAGAACGGAAGGTATAGTGAGAATCAACCTTAATTTGTTTTAACATCAGTACCAATCTCTAACGCTGAAATTTTCTTAACTCGGTATCGCCAACTATTTCAATAATTTTTTATTGCTCCGTGTATTTTGAATTTATGTTATTATTATCACATATTTTACAAAAACAATAGAGTAAAAATTTCAAATCGGTATCGAAGTGTATCGGAAAACTGGGTTACCCTGTGAATGTTAGTTGAATCGCAAAATGGATACAATCTTCTTTATTATATTATTGATTTTGTATATTATACTGTCATACGTATTATTTAGGCCCAGAAAGGAGACAAGGGTGACAAAGGAGATCGTGGTTCAGATGGTATTCCAGGCAAAGATGGAATACCAGGACTGCCCGCTACAGGTTCAAACGACGATGCAACACGGTACGTTCCTGTTCCTGGACCACCAGGTCCCCCCGGACCGCCTGGAATACCTGGATTATCCATAACTGGACCTAAAGGTGAACCTGGAGAAGCGATTTACAAGGAAGCAGTGTATAACTTGCGACCAGGTAGGAAACAAATTAGTACTTATATAACCCAGTCAAATTAGTTAAAAAACGCCCATCCTTGGAAGAAATTCCCACGGTTTTAAACGGCTCCTCTAGACTTGGGCTGATATGTGTCAAAAGTCGCCGTAGATAGACGATGAGCTTGAGGAGGGGAGAAGGGTTAAATATCATTTTTTTTTCACTTTTTTGTTTATATCTTAGTAGAGAGAATGTAGAATTCTACATATTTTGGTAACTATACCATCTACTGAAAAACACTTATACAAAAATTAAAACCGACAAAATTCTCTATAAAAATGAATTTATCCTTTTTTGTTCCCGGACTTATGGTTTCCGAACTACGCCCTCCATAAATTTGAATGCTAAATCAAATGGCGTATTCCAAATCCGCATACATTTCTTTTCATTGCATGTTCTTCGTACAAATGGTGTTGACGAAATACAATATCATGATCTTTTAAGTATAACTTTTAGTACATACTGTGATTTTTAAAATTTTAAACCACTTAACTCACTCCTTAACTGCACAAGTTAGTTGTTAACATAAATAATCTTTCTGGTTAATTTATTTTACTTTATATTTTTGGCTAATTAAAAAATCAAAACCGACATTTTGTACATAATATATTAAAGACACAACATAAATAATAAAATATTTATAAAACAATAGTGAACTGTAAAAAATGTCTATACTTCTGTGGTGGATTAATCTCTCCAAAAAATCCTGTATTAAATATTATTTAAGAAAAGGCGATTTTCACAAATCTAAGATTTGTCAGCATTCATGGGACACAGGGCACAGAGTGGATTTTAACAACACGCAAAAATTATAATGAAAGAAGCGATAGCCTCTAAAAGAAAATTAAAAGAGGCTTTTTTAATACAATCTAAAAAAAAATAAATGTATTTATTGCTCATGCATCTGTAGATATTAGTATTGTTAAGGTCAAGGTGTATTACTGGTTGCATAACCGCAACGGTGCATTGAGGAACCTGGCGCATTCGCCAGAAAGTATAGAAAATTATAGAATTCTTTAGAAAAATCTAGAAACAACCGCCAGGGGGTATATAAGGCCCGCGCTTTGACAGTTGGACAAGTTTGAAGTTTGAAGTCTAAAGTCTGAAGATAGTCTGAAGTTTGAAAATACCGCGAAATACCGTTAGAGTAATAGTAGTTGCATAAGTTGTGTTGTAAATAGTATAAGTTGTGTGTACAGGGTGAAACAAATAAATTCGTTAAGTATTTTATCGTGAGTTTAAATAGTGGACCCACGGAATCCGTAACAATTGGTGTCAGAAGTGGGATTCAAGAGGATTTTAAGAAGAAATTAAGTGGATTGGAAGATTTTTGGACCGGATTAGAGTTAGATTAGAGATTTTTATGGTTGGTACAAGGGAACAAGCGAAGAAAATGGTGGAAGTAAGCAAACTATTAGGCGATTTTATGGAGAATATGAGAAGAGAAAAGGCAGAAGAACAAGAGAGGTTGCGAAAAGAGAAAGAAGAGGAACAAGACCATCTACAGAAAATACTTATGGAAAATCAAGAGAAAATGTTGGGTAATTTGGAAATTCGTTTTGAGGAGCGACATCGTAGAGAAAAACAAGAAGAACAGGACCGGCTTGAGAAAATTTTCGAAGATTTGAAAATTCAACGACAAAAAGACAAACAAGAAGAACAGGACCGGCTTGAGAAAATTTTAGAAGATTTAAAAATTCAGCGACAACAAGACAAACAAGAAGAGCAGGACCGTATTCAACAGAGTATCGAAAATTCGGAACGAAGACAAGAGACCCACTTCCAAGAAGTCGTAGAAGATCTGGAGGAGCGCCTTCAGCAGAAAATGGAAAAATTAGAGATGGACCTACAGAAGACCAAGGTACAAGTAAGGACACCTGGCGTTTCTGGAACTGCGAACCTCAAGGCACCGACCTACGATGGACAAACGACCTGGACAATGTACCACCGTCAGTTTGAAGCAGCCGCCGCTGCCAACGGATGAACTGACCAGGAGAAAGCAGCGGCACTTGTCATCGCGCTGCGTGGCACTGCCCTGGAACTGTTGCAAACTATTCCTGCAGCCCAACAGCAGGAATACCAAACTTTGGTCGCTGCACTGGACAGAAGATATGGCGACCAACATCGACGCCAACTTTACCAGGCCCAGATCAAGACACGCCTGCAGAGGTCCGGAGAGAGTCTGCAGGAATTTGAAGCAGACTTACGTCGGCGGGTACACCTAGCGTATCCTGAAGCACCGGAAGGATTTAGGGAGGAACTCGCTGCTCAGTGCTTTATCAGCGGACTGAGGGACAACGAATTACAGAGGGCGCTGCAAATATCCCGATTTTCTACCAGCAGCGAAGCACTGGTCAGGGCGCTGGAAATCGAAGCTGCTTTTAGCGCCATCCCTAGACCGAAGATAAGATCGGTAACGGTAGAGGAACAGCCCGAGAGTACCCACAGAAGTTTGGAGGAGATGTGTAGAAAATTCGAGAAACTATGTGAGCTACTAATAAACAAGGGAGTCAACAATAACCAGACAGAGAACCAGAGAAGATCCCAGGACATAAGGTGCTACAGATGTGGCAGGAATGGCCACATCAAACGGGATTGCCGCGTTCAAATGCGATCCCGTTCACCATCCAGAGAACGTAGGCACCAGGAAAACTAAAATCAGTCAATACTAAGGGGCAAGTATTGACTGGGGAGAACAGAGCCCCCAGGATTTTTTCCATTAGGAGTCTAGGAAGAACCGCTGACAGTTTGGTGATCGACGGGAAAGTCAATGGAAAGGGAATTCGAATGACTGTGGACACTGGCGCTATGGTATCGTTGGTGCGGGCTAACTCAGTGCAAGGATTGAAGCTGATACCTCTGAAAAGAAGAGTGTGTTTACGTAGTCACGGGGGAAATGGCCGTTGTACGGGGAGAGGCTATCGTCGAACTGAAGTTAGGAAATTTGAAGTTCCAGCATAGCGTTTTAGTGGCAGATATTGAAGATGACTTCATCTTGGGCATGGATGTGATTCGTCAACATGGATTTTCGTTCGATCACCAGAGAAATATCCTGAATATCGGAAATGAAGAGTTTATGTTATCTCCAGACGAGGGACCAGGAAGAATGGATGTAAGATCAGCGGAAACTGTGGTGATACCTGGTAATACCGAGAAGATCGTATTCGGTAAAGTGGAGAAAATCGCTGGGTGCTGTGTTGGACTGGTACAAAGTGGCGACAAGAAACAAGATAGGTACTTAGTAGGAAAATCATTGGTGAACACCGACAAGAATATACCGATCAGAATTGCGAATGTTTTCCCGAATTGTGTCAAGATTCAAAAAGGTGACAAGATAGCCATCTGCGAACCTGTAAGAAGTGTCACCCGATGTGATGAAGTGCCGTCAGCTGTTACACAAATGGCATCCAAAGAAACACTAACACATCTAGAGCAGCCATGGGATCACCTAACATCTGAGGAGAAACAGAAGGCTAAGCAGTTCCTGCTAAAGCATGGCAGTATTTTTGAGAAGAACAATAGTGGAAGAACGGATTTTGTGAAGCACCGGATTAATACTGGTCATGCTCAGCCGATTCGACAACGTCCTAGAAGGGTGCCCCTTTCCAAACAACAAGAAATGGAGACAATGGTAGATAAGATGTTAGAAGATGGAGTAATCGAAGAATCATCAAGTCCATGGTCATCTCCTGTTGTTTTGGTGACGAAGAAAGATGGTAGTACACGATTCTGCGTGGATTATAGGAAGCTCAATGACGTCACTAAGAAAGATAGCTACCCATTGCCACGTATAGATGACACATTAACAACTCTGGCAGGTTCGTGCTGGTTCTCCACTCTCGACTTAAAGAGTGGATACTGGCAAGTTGGTCTAGACGAGGAAGACAAAGAAAAGACGGCTTTCTCTACAGGAAACGGACTATATCAATTCAAGGTCATGCCGTTTGGATTATGCAATGCTCCAGCCACTTTCGAACGTCTCATGGAGGTGGTGTTAAGAGGATTAACTTGGAAAACGTGCTTGGTTTACCTCGACGATGTATTGGTTATGGGAAGAACTTTTGAGGAGCATTTGCGAAATTTAGAAGAAGTCTTCGGCCGCATAAGGAATGCGCACCTGTACTTGAACCCGAAGAAGTGTAGCTTATTCCAGCGACAAGTGGAATTCTTGGGTCATGTAGTTTCGGCAGACGGAATTTACACCGATCAGAAGAAAATCGCTGCAATCAAGGATTGGCCTAAACCTCGCGACAAACATGAACTTAGAAGTTTCCTGGGTTTATGCACTTATTACAGAAGATTTGTCAAGGGATTTGCCGATATAGCTGCACCCTTACATAGGCTTACAGGTGATGAAGTCGGCTACGAATGGAACACCGATTGTGATGTAGCCTTTGGAAGACTTAAGGCGGCTTTATGTTCAAGTCCTATTTTGGCCTACCCACAACAACAAGGGAGGTATATCCTGGACACAGACGCCAGCAACATCGGCATAGGAGCAGTGCTATCACAAGTCCAAGATGGCGAAGAACGAGTGGTAGAATATTACAGTCGAGTTCTATCCAAACCGGAAAGGAATTACTGCGTTACCCGGAAGGAGCCGCTAGCAATTGTGAAGGCAGTTGATCATTTTCATAAATACCTGTATGGCCAAGAATTTTTAATTAGGACAGATCATGCGGCTCTCAAATGGCTCATGGAGATGAAACAACCTGAAGGCCAAATAGCACGATGGCTCGAGAAGCTCCAGCAGTATCACTTTACCATCCAACATCGTGCTGGGAAGATGCATAGTAACGCAGACGGTTTATCCAGAAGACCCTGTCAAACCGATTGTAAGCACTGCTGTAAAACGGAACAACGTGAAGGCACTGTCATGATAAGGAGTTTTAAGCTTGGAGCTGATGAACAGTGGACGACGGCACAGTTGATGAAAGACCAAATGGAAGATCCAGACATCGGGGCAATACTACGGCTCAAGG